GCTTTATGAGCAATCAGAAAAATTCCTCAATGCAATGAAAATTTCAGCGACACTCGGCTTTCTTAATATGGAAGTAGAAAGTAAAACAATTATCTCAGCAAAAAAAAAAAAATTTTTTTTTCTTAGGCCCCCTTTGAGAATTCAGACTCAATGATAAATAACTACCATCCCACTGGACCACTTTAGGAATTAGCTAAGGGGAGACAAATCATTTTCTGTTGAAGGGACTCTCCTTACATCTAGTGCTTATGTATGAGAGGGAGGAAGGAGGGACAGAGAGAGAGAGGGAGAGAGAGCCCTACTTCTAAGTTCTTAAGTGATGCTAAATCTTCATAGAAAAATGTATCATTTTTACACACAAGAATAGTAGCACTAACTCACTTCATTAGGGAATGGGCTTTAAATTGTTTTTCTGGAAATACTCTCTGAACACCATCCCCTTGTAACAAATTCTGTGGTGGCAGCTGAGCTCTGGAGTAAAAGTGCGCTGTCTTGAGGCGGTCAGGCCCCCCGGCCCCTACAGTTATATTCAGCAACTCTGGTCTCATGAATGTCACGCTTTAAACAACTGACCCAGCAGCCTAAACCATTAGATGTGTCAGTGATTAAAATAAGCAAACAAACTGTATAACATAGTAGACAATGTGACACATGACAAAGTCCCTTGAATTATAGCAAAGTGATCCACAGTAGAGTGAGGTTAAGGCCACGTGCACACAAACTGTTCTGCACTTATATGGGAATTGCCTCCCATGAAAGTAGGTATAACTGTTTTTGTTTGTTTTTCCGTGGTGCTGGGGGTTGAACCCAGAGCTTTCCACCTGGCAGGCTCTTGGTATGCCCAAATATCATATAAAAACCTCCTGCTTTCAGTCAGGCACAGATTACACCTGTAATCCCAGCAAATCAGGAGGCTTAAGGCAGGAGGACCTCAAGTTGAAGGCCAGGCTGGGCAACTTAGCAAGACCCTGTCTCAAAATAAAATAAAAAAGGGTTGGGGGTTTGACTCAGTGGTAGAATGCCCCTGGTTCTTCATATATACAAACAGCATCTTCATATTCAGAAATAAATCCTTCTGAAAATGCATGTGCCCTCAGTCTCTACATACAAGGAGGCTGCTCACGCCCGATGCTATGGCTGGGTGCAGCAGTTCTCCTTTGATTTGAGTCCCTCCCTCAAGCCCCTTGTTCCCCAGGGAATTCCCCTCAGTCTCGGAGGTCATTCAGTCTTTCTCATTTGGCTTCTTCACTCTGCCCCCAAATGGGTACAATTTTTAAGTAATTCTTTACCAGCTTGTCTACCACATAACTCCCTTTTTCTACCAGTCTTCAAAGTACCATATAGATTCCTGGGTAAATGGATTTCCTTCCAACTAACTCCCCTAATTCACACGATTACCCCACTGACTTGCTGTCTGTTTCTGCATGAGCAGTTACTTCCTGTCAGTGCCAGCACCCCCACCCCCACCCTGCCCCTGCCAGGCCTTTCTGAAGGTCTCAGCCTCCAAGCCTTCTGGGTCTCCAACAGTATTTCCTCCTCCAATGTCTTCGCTTTGCTCTCTGACCCCTTCCCGGGCTTTTCTTCCCTTGCACTGCCCCTAAGAATTAGTTCTGCTCTCTCCCTCTCTGTCTCTCCCTTTGGCAGTGGGGACTGAACCCATGCTAGCCCATGCTAGGCAGGCACTCCACCACTGAGCTACACCCCAGCCCTCAGTTCTGCTCTGCATGGGCCAAACCTACCATCCCTGATGCAGAAACACTCCAGCCATCTCAGCCAGCATTCAGTCTGTACCTCTAACAGTGACAAGAATTACCCCTCGGTCACCCTAGAGTGCATTTCCAAAGAAACTTCACTCCTGCAGGTCTCTGGTTCTAAGGGAAACACTAGGCAAAGGCTGTGTCCTTGTACAATACCAGTGAACTCAAGAGTTCCGGCAGGCTTAGGAACTGATCAGAAAGGATAAAGAAATCACGGGGCTGGGGCTGGGGCTCAGTGGCAGATCGCTTGCCTGGCACGTGCGAGGCACTGGGTTCATTCTTCAGCACCACATTAAAACAAATAAATAAAGGTATTGTGTCCATCTACAACTAAAAATATACATTAAGAAAAAAGAAAGAAAGAAATCACATGCGATACAACCATTCATCCTCTTTAAGTATAAAAAGAATGTTTCTCTGGGCTGGGGTTGTGGCTCAGTGGTAGAGTGCTGGCCTCGAATATGTGAAGCCCTGAGTTCAATCCTCAGCACCACATAAAAATAAATAAATTAAAAAGGTATCAGTTGTCCATTTACAACTGAAAAAAAGAATGTTTCTCCTTATGTTTTCATTCATCCACTAAATCCTTAAATATAGGAAACATTTAGTTGCTGAAAAATAAGGTAGCCAGGCACACTGGTGCACACCTGTAATCTCAGCAATTTGGGAGGTTTAGATGGGATCTCAAGTTGGTGATCAGCCTTGACAACTTAGTGAGACCTGTGTCAAAATAAAGAATAAAAAGGACTGGAGATGTAGCCCTGTGGTAAGGCTCCCCTGCTTCAATTTCCAGTGAGAGAGAGAGAGAGAGAGAGAGAGAGAGAGAGAGAGAGAGAGAAGGTAAACCATACCCTTCTTATCCCTAAGGTCAAGATTGGATTAACTACCAAAGCTTCTTCAAGATTCTCAAGTTGAAGGGCTGGAGTTGTAGCTCAGTGGTTGAGTGCTTGCCTAGCATGTAGGAGGTACTGGGTTCAATCCCAGCACCACATAAAAACAAATAAAGAAGGCTGGGGCTCAGAGAAGAAGCCTATCATGTGTGAGGCATTGAGTTTGATCCTCAGCACCACAAATAAAATAAAGGTATTGTGTCCAACTACAACTAAACATAAATGTTTTAAATAATAATAATAATAAATAAAGACATTGTGTTAAAAAAAAGGATTTTCAAGTTGATCAATGAAAATATTCTGTGCATTTTAAAATTTTCACATTTATAATGCAATACTTAAGATGTAAAAATAAGCTTGAATTGTTTACCAGATTTTTACTGAAGAAGAATACCCAGGTCACTTATTTTGGTTTGGTTTAACAAAACAACAGAAACAACTGCCATTTTAAAAATAACAATTCTAGCATGCACAGTGGTACACGACTGTAATCCCAGCACCTGACAAGAGGGTCTCGGGATCAAAGTCAGCCTCAGCAACAGTGAGGTGCTTAAGCAACTCAGTGAGACTGCCTCTAAATAAAATACAAAATAGGGCTGGGGCTGTGACTCAGTGGTTGAGTGCTCCCGAGTTCAATCCCTAGTACCAAAAATAAATAAATAAAATAACAATTCTGTTGTCCTCACTGGGTGGCAAAAATACACTCCTACTGCCTTTCATTAACCTGTAGATCTGGAAGCAATTCACTTCCCCACTGATGACCAAGTTTCTTTGAGTTTTGGTTAAATACAACAATAAAATCATTTGATTTTCCACCCAGCTAAAATTATTTGAGAAAATGAAAAAACAAGTCATCTTTTAAACAAAAATAATTATTCCCCAAATGAAAAATTCATTTACTTCTGCGTTGCCACAGTATTAAAAAATATTAACAAACCCCAAAATACAGTCCTTCTATGAAATGAAGAATTTTTTCCCCCTAAAAATTCAATTCTAATTCCAAACAAAATCATTCAAAAGGTGTTGAAGACCTAGTTCACTTCTCTACCACAACATAAAAATTTTACTTGGTTCTCATGTCACTGACTGCTGACCCTGGACTCTGAGGTCTAAATCTTACTGGTTAGATTAAAATGGGATGACAGTATCTATCTCTCTGACAGCTTATTTTTCACTCTAAGTGATAGCCAGAAACTCCATTTTAGCCTTTTCCTCTATGAGTTAGAAATCAGAGGCCTCTTCTAAGGTTTCCCAATGGCCACCACCCGTGGGGGTTTGTTTTGCCCAACAGGAACTGTCCCATCCCTCTTTGCAGCTCCCCCAGTCACCCAAGTGAAATCCAGTGTCAGCTCCACCCTGAATATCTGCTATCTAGTATCCTATCTACTGCCCCTTGGAAGGAGGTTTCCTAGAGTACAAATTCAGTCTGTCCCTTAGATTTGCAAGGCAGATCTGCCTACTGACCATTCTTTGCTGTGATGACAACTGTGCTCTAAGACAAACAACGTATTCTTAGTGGAAAACAATTTAAGCTATCACATGTGTTTCCCCAACAGCCATTTATTCACATCGGCCCATCTTCTGATATCTGACTTACACAAAAACTCAAAGACTTGCCTGATGACAATCGAATGAGTGTGATGTGTTTAACGGAATTTGTACTTTATCGCATGACTTCCTGTTCTTCTTCTTCTTTTATTTTTTATTTATGGTGAAATCTTTATAAGAGAAACGATGATTAATTCTTCCCTGGTCTTTAAGTATCATTCTCTTCTGACAACCGCCTAGCAAATCCTCAAATCTAATTTGAAAAGTCATACTTTTAAGCAAATTATTCCTAAAGCTTTTATTTAGAGTTGTACCATACTGAAGAAATCCGTTTTATGGGGACAATTCGACAAAACTTGCTTGTTTTAGGAGACTAGCTAGCCAAACCTCTCAGTTAATCCTACATCTAAAAGTTGTTAGCAGTATACATTTTAGAATCTTCTGTGTGCCCCAGAACACGCAATATGGATCTAATTAGGTTCAGCTGCCTTACGTTAGTAATAAAATTGAGAGAGAGAGAGAGAGAGAGAGAGAGAGAGAGAGAGAGAGAGAGAGAGAGAAAGAGAAAGAGAAGGAGAAGTGGGGGTGGGGGTTTTGTTCATCCTCTCCTAAGTCCTGGGGAATCCCAAACTCCCAAGTCCTGCGCATCCTCAATGCTCACTCAGTAGCTGGTGCCCCTCTCAGCGCTCAAACTTGTCAGCGGCTGGGTTTTCACTAGATCTGTAAGAGACTTTACACAACCCCACCCCACCCCCACGGCCCAGGCCCGGGTGAGCCCCGCCCGCTGCTCGGCTCCAGGACTTACACCAGCGCGGATGGACAGGGCATCTGGCTCCAGGGACAGTTGTACTGAGCTTGGATAAAACTCTCACTTCCCTCCAGTACAGAGCAGCTCACGTTCTTGTTCACGATGTAAGCGCACCAGTTCCTGGGGTGAAGGGGAGAGAGGGAGAAGGATGTAGAGTCCACCCCGAGAACAATGAGGCCCGGGAAAAGGGAATGAGCTGATACAGCAGCGGATGGAGCCAGGGTCAGGGAACCGGTCACCCCCTGCGGAGGCGGGAGATTAACTCAGTAGACACCAGAGGGTGTAACGAGGGTGCCTTCGGAGAGCAGCCCCTTTACCCGACGAAAGGCCGGGGAAAGAAAGGCACCCACGCCCCCAGGGGCTCCTGGAATTTCTGGGAGTCCTTCCAGATCACGCTGCTCCGCAGGACACTCCCTGAGTCCCGCGTCTCTGGAGTCAGCACTGCTTGAGGCTCCTGCGGTGGAGCGCACGGCCACCGAGATGAGTCTCCCGGGGGAGTCCATAAGGGACTCCCAGCTGTCGCTTGTCGCCTTTAGCAAGCCAGTTCCAGGACCCGGCGATGGGCCGGGGAGGGATAGGTGGGGTCCCAGAGCTCTCGGGTTTGGGACGAGCGAAGAGGCGCGCACTTACTTGTTCCTGGCGCTGGGCCGCGCGGGGTACCCGGACTGCGGGCCGGCGTGGCACAGTCCCGCGCCGCCAAGGGTCAGTATCGCCAGCACCCAACGCCAGAGCGCGCGGGGCCGGGACCGGGTCGGCTGCCACATTCTGCGCGCGGCGGGCGCGCCCCGCCTGCCAGGGTCCGGAGCGCGGCGGATCCCGACTAGCGCCACGAGGTTGCCAGCTGCCGGGGCACCGCCCGAAAAGGCCGGAGGCTCGGGCGCTTCGCCGCGCCCCCACCCGCTCGGCGGCCGCCCCCTACGGCTACTCGCTCCCACTTCTCCTTTTGCAGCCCCGCGCGCCCTGCGCTTCTCCTCGGTCCCTCAATGACGCACAGGTCCCCCCGGGTGCCGCCCTCTTTATTTCACTTCCCTCTCCGAAACGTGACTCTTCCTTCACCACGTCTCCCGTCTCCCGTCCCCTTGCCTCTCGGCAGGGGATCTGGGGTGAAAGAGCCAAAGGGTTTGGGATAAGGGTCTAGGTTACAGAATTTCCAATTACTCATTCCTTTGGTCTCTTCCCAGAAGCGGAGCGACTCCGCCTTCCACCTTCCAACAGGCGCACCCCCAAGCCCCTCGGGAAGTGGCAGCAGTCGGAGAGTCTGGAGGTTTTCACGTCGTGCCTGGGTGCCGGCTCCCCGGGGTGAACCGGGGACACCGTTATCAGTCCCCAGAGGGTAGGGAGTAGGGGTTCAATTCATATTTCCTTCCCTGCAAGACGAGGCCATTCCCTCCCCGCAACCTTTATGGACTTAGGAGAGGACTTCACGGGGAAATGAACCCTGGCCTTTTCTTTACCCAGCGCTGCCTTATGCATCCAAGTCGACACGAAGGCGGCAGCAGGACAGGCCAAGGCTCCGCGCTTCCCAACAACTTCTGAAGCCCAGCATCAAACTCTATTACAGGATACACCAATGTTTGAAAGGTGATCTCACAGCCTCTGCCTCTGATGTCCTAGTCTGAACTTTCTTTTTCCATTAATATGAAAGACATTGTCTTGAGTTTTTTTTTTTTTTTTTCCCCTCTTCTTCTTCTTCTGTCTGGTGCTGGGGATCAGTACATGTTCTTGCACATGATAGGCAAGCACTCTACCAAAGCTACCCATCACACCCCCCAGCCCTTGCCTTTCCTTCTCCGTGTTTAGACATTCGACCTTCCACTTGGAAATTTTCTGCCTATTCTTGAGTTACACCGATCTTAACCAATTTCTTTTGGGAATGAAATAACTCCACAGAAGAATGTTAAGGTAAAATCACCTCCAAAGTATTCTCAGAGAGACATTGGAGAGAGCTATATATTTTAGGTGACCCACTGCTCTAATGAACGCTGTAATGAAGGTATTTGCAGACTGCATACATTTACTGAAACACCAGTGAGCTCATAGGATACTGTTGGCTGTGAATTGTTTTGTGGCTGATAAAACTGCTGTGTTCTTACTCTAGTAAATGAAGCCATTGGTCCATTTTATTTCTCATATGCTTTGATGGCAGTGTTGAACTTTTGATTTGCAAAGAGAAGAAAATCCCCTAAGTCGAGATGTTACAAGAGCCAAGCAGAAAATTATACCATGTAAGGACATAATCTGTCCATGAACTTTCTAAATGGAAGATCATGCAAATAATGGACTGAAGTCATCCTAGCCTTCAAAAGACCCACGCTGGGGGTGGGGGGGAAATAACAGAAGGAGACAAAAAAGCTGTCTCATGTAATCCAATCTCTATATTTCTGTATGACTTCCTTATCCTCCCTAACAACATTTTGTCCACAAAATATCATGGGAAGAAACAAGTGAAAGAAGGAAAAAAATGGGAGGAAACATTTAAGTTATGCCTGTCTACAACTAGCAGCTAACAATTATTTCCCTTCAATATGGGTAATTCTCAAATTTGAAAATGAGTTGAACTGCTCAAGTCAAATCTTTTTTTCTACTGAATCTACTAAGAAGTTGTCCAAGAGGTTGGTTGGTTTGTTTTGGTACTGGGGATTGGATCAAGGGTCTTGTATATGTTACACAAGTGCTTTATCACTGAGCTACATACCTAGTCCTTCTAAATTTTTATGTTGAGACAGGGTCTTGTTAAGTTGCTGAGGTTGACCTCTTGAACTTGCCATCCTCCTGCCTCAGCCTTCAGAGTGCCTCAGATTACAGGTGTGTGACACTGTGCCCAGCTGTCCAAAAATTTGAGGACCAACTGCACATTGAGATGACTACAATACTATACAGTTGGCCTCTATATCTGTGGTTTCTACATCTACAGTTTCAACCAACCATAGTTCAAAAATATTTGAGGGCTGGGGATATAGTTCAGTTGGTGGAGTGCTTGCCTTGCATGCATAAGGTCCTGGGTTCAATCCCCAGGACCACAAAAATAAATAAATAAGCAAAATTGTGTCTGTCTCTGTATCAAACATGTACAAACTTTTTTCTTGTCATTATTACCTAAACAATATAGAATAGCAACACTCTACTGTACATGGTATTTACATGCCATTTACTAGGTATTAGATAGTACAGGTAACCCCTAGAGATGATTTTAAGTATATGGGAGGCTGGGCACTGTGGCACACGCCTGTAATCTCAGCCACTCAGGAAGCTGAGGCAAGAGGATTGCAAGTTCAAAGCCAGCCTCAGCAACTTAGCGAGGCCCTAAGCAACTTAGCAGGACTCTATCTTAAAATAAAAAATAAAATGAGCTGGGGATGTGGCTCAGAGGTAAAGTACTCCTGGGTTAAACCCCCAATATCAAAATAAATAAATAAATAACATAATAATAATAAAGTATATGGGAGGATTATACAGGTTATATACAAATACTACAGCTTTTTATATAAGGAACTTGAGCATCCACAGATTTGGTCCTGGAACCAATCCCCCATAGATACCTAAGGGTGACTGTACTTAATCAGCTATAAGTGGAATTTATCAGTAAATAAATTTCATCCTGAACATCTGTTACATGCCAGGCATTGTGCAAAAATACTGAGGATCCAGGCTGGGGATGTACTTTAGTGGTAGAGTGCTTGCCTGGCATGTGTGAGGCTCTGGGTTCAATTACCAGTACTAACAAAAAACAAACAAACAAAAAACCCTGAGAATTCATGAGTGAGCCCAAACTGATGTAAGCCCCATGTTTAGAGCTTCCAGGCATTCCCATACACAGAAGGGTGTATAGTTCCTGAGGTACGGTCAGTCAATGAGCCCACTTTGTTACAAGTGTTTCTCTAGATGTAGGACCATGTATACCTGGTGTGTGGAGTCGCCTCTTGGAAGAGAGAACACTCTTGACTCTTGCAGCATTCCCAGGAAACTTTAGGCCAAGATCCCAAGAGAGTCTTCCTTTATTCTTTCTAGTAGAATGGTCATAACAAACTCAGGAGCCAGAGAGTTGGCCACAAAAAAAAAAAGCAAAAAAAACCCAAACAAAAAAATAATAATAATAATAACAGGCAGAGGGAAGTGCTTTCTAGGTATGAAGGTTTTTGTTTGTTTGTTTGTTTGGTTTGGTTTGGTTTGGTACTGGGGAGTATATCCAGGGGCACTTAACCACTGAGCCACATCCCCAGCCCTTTTTTTGTATTTTATTTAGAGACAGGGTCTCACTGAGTTCCTTATAGCACCTTGTTTTTGCTTAGGCTGGCTTTGAACTCACGATCCTCCTACCTCAGACTCCCAAGCTGCTGGGATCATAGGTGTTTGCCACCACACCCAGTTGGGTATGGAGTTTTTAAGCACATTAAGAAATAGACTAATGGGCTAGTCGTCTGGTCCTAGCCATAAGCAAAAATGTGGATATGGGTGGCAGAAGGCTGCAAGTGTGAATTCATTTTTGTTTTCTGAAATGGGGGCTCATTATGTTACCAGGCTGGTCTCAAGCTTGTGGGCTCAAGGGGTGCTCCTGCTTCAGCCTGTCTAGTAGCTGGAAATTCAAGGCCTTCATCAGTATACTGTACTGAGTGTAAAATCTTTATACATTGCCAACTACTTTAACCCATTAAGTTTCAAGTTTTCAATTTCTGTGAATATTGCAACAAAAAAATTTGACACAGTTGCATTAAAATAGTTTGGAAATCATAATCTAGAGTTTATAGATTATATTAAATATTAATAATGTTATAGCTTTGTTATTACTGTTATATAATTATATGTAATTATTACTGTTATAAATGAGTGTATACTGGTATGCGTAAGTATTGTTGCAGTAACGGGAATCTATCACTGAGCTACACCCCCAGTCCTTTTCATATATTTTTTTGAGACAGGGTCATGCTTGCTAACTTGCCAAGCCTGGCCTCAAATTTGAGATCCTCCTGTGTCAACCTCCTGAGTATCTAGGATTACAGATGTGTACCACATCTGGGACAATGGGACCACATGGGTCTGAATTTCTTCTGTGTCTGAAAGCAAGTGTCCCATAATAACTTATACCCTTAAATGTGTGATCAATTTACCTAAAGAAAAAAATCCATCTCCTCATTCACTTGTTATAAGGCTCTGCACTCAGTGACACTTCCCTGGGAAGCAGTGAACCTGCTCAGCTTCCAGGAAACCCAGACACGCTCTTGTTTGTCTGAGAGGAGGGTGGTGACCATTCCTGAGGCAGCAGCACAGGATACTTCCCCCACCAACTTGCTGATCAACTGGGCACAGGAAAATGGATCAAGAGAAGCCAATTCACACCTAGGATGTGATCAAGAATCATGAGACTTAGCTAGGCACAGTGGCTCATGCCTGAAATCCCAGCAGTTTGGGAGGCTGAGACAGGAGGATCGCAAGTTCAAAGCCAGCTTCAGCACTTAGTTGATGCCCTATGCAACTTAGCGAGATTCTGTCTCAAAATAAAAAATAAAAGTAAAATAGGCTGGGGATGTGGCTCAGTGGTAAAGTGCCTCTGGGTTCAACCCCTGGTAGGGGGTGGTGGTGAGAATCATGAGACTTACCTGGGATTCCCTTGCTCTTGGTCCCTCATCTTTGTTCCTAGCCCTGAGCATGCTAGGCAGGTTCACCACCATTGAGTTACACCCGCAACCAACACTAGATATCAGACTCCTGAGTCACTGGATTATCACAAAGTGTTATATATATATATATATATGTTTTAATACCTTAAATTAGCACTAGAAAACTGTTAGTTTCCTATAACAATCTGAATTTCTTCTGATTTAAAGCAAAAGTGTCCCATAGTAATTTATATGCTTCACTGTGTGAACATTTTACCTAAAGCAGAAATCCAAGGTGGAACTACTTCATAAAATCCATTTGCTTGTTGTCAAGATTTCAGAGGCTCATCGGGCTGTGTGCATTTGGGGACACTTTTCTTTTGGAGGCAGTGAGCTACATGCCCAATCGAGACGAGATATCTTGAATAAATTCTTATTGTAAAGTCCACAAAACATGTTAGAAACACTTATCACCCTAAGAAAATTTTATGTAAATTCATAAATTAGTGATGACACCTTTCATTAAAAAAAAAAAATCCAGTTTGTCAAACTCCTATCAGGGAGAGGCAGAAAAGTCTCCACAGAATTATTAACTGGCTCCACCATCTAGCCTGATCTGGATTTTGGAAGCAAGGAATTACTTGATATAATTTTGAAAATTCCATCTGAGGTAGACATTGCCTTTGACAAGGCACCTTGGTAAAAAAAATTATGGTCTCAAACTTTAAAATTTATAAGTGACATCTATCTTTCTGTCTTGTCAACGGCTTTAGTTTCCAATTGGGAAGAAAACAAAGAATACTTGCTGTTCTTCAATTTTTCTTATTTATATGCAAATGTCACATTATCTGCAAATGTCACACATAAAGTCTTGATATCTTCTGAAGCCAAAACAGATTGTTATCAATTGATTGATTAGATAATACATTCTTAAGGACTATGGTCATTGAAGAAGTTTGTTAGTGCTGGGATGGAACCCTGGACCTCTGCATTGCTAGGCTAGCTCTCTGCCCCTGAGCTACATCCCCAGCCCATATGGCCATTATTTTAATGACTATTCTTTAGAGATGCAAAGAAGAAATTTTAAAACATTGACTAAGGGAGCATGCCTCAATACATTGTACACTGTCACCTGAGAATTTTAAACTGTGAGAAGCTGAAATCATGCATAAAATCATGCATGAAAAAAACTGTGTAAGTGTTCATGCAACAGAGTTGGTGTATTGTTCAAATTATGGTGCTCTCGGCCTGGGAATGTAGCTTAGTGGTAGAGCGCTTGCCTAGCATGTGTGAGGCACTGGGTTTGATACTCAGCAACACATAAAAATAAACAAAATAAAGGCATTCTGTCCATTTACAACTACAAAAAAATTTTTTTAAATTAGGGTGCTCTCATCCTCTTACCAAAATGATTTGGACAAACAATAAGCCCCTCTTGCTTCGATTTTCTTCTCTGAAAATTGGAATACCTTTTTTATTTTTATTTTTATTTTTTGTAATGTGGATGGAACATAGCCCACTTTACCACTGAACAACATCCGAGCCTTTCCATTTTTTGAGACAGTGTCTTGCTAAATTCCTGAGGCTGGCCTCCAACTATTAATC